CTGTTCAGCCTGACACCGGGACAGCTGGCCACCCTGTTTGAATGGCACAACCCCAGGTAGCCACGGAGAGCAGAAACCCCCGGTTCCCTCACCTCCTCACCCCTTCTGGCATCTGCCTCTGATGGTTGCTCTTTCCGTGTGCGGTCACACACGGCCTCTCCTCCCAGGGTCTCCCTGCGTCAGCACTTCCCCAAGGTCCTGTTACTGGGGGGCCTTGGGGCATCCCCACCCTCTTTATTAGGGCCTCCCGTGTGGCCTCCTCGTTGTGGAACCTCCCACCCTCCCCCTCCCACATCCTTAGGTACACTCACAGTCATGTCCATACACACTAACACACACAAATATACACACACTCGTGCACACACGTCACATAAATACACACACTCTCACACTCCCATGCACGTATGACCCAGGCACACAGTCCCTACCCCGCTGACCTTACAGCAGCTCCCTTCCTCCTTCATTAAAAAGCAGCTCTTTTAGGTGAAGGAGCTGCCGTCCTCCCCTATATCCCCGACCCCAAAAGCCTAGCAAAGTACCCGGCAGAGACTCACAGCTCAGTGCACATCTGTGGAATTGAATAAACCAGCCCTGTGATTGCTGGTTCTCCCCCAAGCTGGCAGGGGCACTCCACCAGGGACACCCCACTCCTCTCTGCCTTCACGGAGCGAAGATTCCATGATTCCCTTCTGCACCAGTCTGTCCGTGGGGAACTTCCCCTTCCAGTACATGGAAGCCAGGTGCTTCCTGCAACCCTGGGAGCTAGCTGTCCGGCCTTCGAGATGGGCCTAGCTTCCTGAGGGCTCCCACTTAGGGCCCTCCTCTCCTCTCCCCTGCCCCTGCCAGCCCATCCTCTACTCTTGTTTCTCACTTTTGGACAGAGCTGGAGGGTTTGGGGACCTCCCCAGGGTGTCACCAGGTGGCACTATGTGGCAGCCCATGGGCCTGGTAGGGGCTGGGTGGGGTCGGCCTCCCAGCCAGTAGCTCGAGGAGGACAGGCTGGGGATCCCCGCAGCAGAGGCTGAGAGGGAAGCGACGCACGACCGTTCATCAGCATGGCCTCATCAGCATGGCCTTGAAAAGACAACGTGGGGAACGAAACAAAGATGCCAGAAGCCACAGGGAGAGGAGAAGGAAGAAAATCACCAACGCACCATTTTGAATTGAAGGCTGTGTATGGAATGTGATCCATTTGGTCACTTAGACCAAATGGTCACCTTCTCATGTAACCAACCAGGGTATTATTATTGTTTTAAATCAGTAAGAGCAGTTGTTTTGCTGGAGCAACTTGTCATTTTAATGAAAACTAGTGGATTTGCCTATGACCAGACAGATCCCAAATTACCTTCAGGGCTGAGTTTTCATGGGTGTTTGTGCTCATTTATAGAATTTAGAGTGTAATTTTTTAGTCAGGCCTCCAGTGTTCATCCCCCTGTCCCCTGCTTGCTTGTCATGGGGCACACATGCACTACGGGGGTCATCACTGGTGAGGTCGTTAGCAACAAAGATACCCTACTTAGTGCTTCAGGACTCACTGCCTTGCAGACTGGGAGAGGCAGAAGCAACACATTAAGTTAGCTGACGAAGCTAAACTGGGAAGTGGTGTGATCATCACCGCAGACAGATAAAGAACAAAAAGAAACAGTCAGAGATGCACCAAGTTAACGAAGCATTCCCATGGAAAAATACAAGCCACAGCTGGAGAAGGAGGGATGAGGGATGATGGAAATTCAGGAAACGGAGAGATTTGGAAAGCAGCAACGCAAGGGGGCGATTTATGGGGTGAGAGCGGATGGGTGTGCAATGTGATATGACAGCTAAATAAGCAAAAGAGGGCTCGGCCCTCCCAACCCCCGCTGCCTGCTACGCACAGCCCGAGCGCCGGCCCCGCTGCAGTGGCAGCTGCTGACCAGACCACAGCCACTTACTGAGCACCTAGGGTGGGTCAGGGACTTAGCACACAGCCATGCTGTCCCCTAAAGACCCCGCAAGGCGGGGGTCACCATCGTCATACCCAGCGAGGAAACCGAAGCTCAGAGAAGTGAAGTAGCTAGTAGATCACACAGCAAGAAAGTGGCAACTAGAATTTACCCCACGCTGATCCAGTTCCAAAATCTCTTTAGTGCTTTGCATCTGGCCACACTGAGTGAATGAGAATACAAGGGTGACACCTCGCTGTCCACTGGTTGTAGGCAGTGGAAGGGGCACAAGGACCGGGCAGCAGACGACCTTGCTTCCAATCCCAGGGCTGCCCTGCACTAGCTGCGTGACCCTAAGAGTGTCTCATGACCTCTCTGTGCCATAGTCCCTTCAACTACAAAATGAGGAAAATAACTACGCCGGGATGTTTTGACTATTAAGTGGATGTCAGTGTCGGCTCTCCGTGAACTGCTTCGCTCACTGAGTATTGTACGTGGTCCTGTCACTGGCATTGACAGCCAACCTGTAAATTGCTGGTAGTTTAGCTGTTTTGGTTCTACTCATTCTTCACAACCAGCCAAGTCTACCTCCTGCAATTGAAATATTTGTCATATTAAAACCTACTTAACGGAAAGATGACTGGAGTGTCAGGAATGAATGGTTGGTCTGCAATGAATGGCTGGGGTTGTGTTCAACTGGCTGCATCCTCGTTAGGATTCACAAAACCTTCAAGCCCTTTGCTTTGCAACAAGTGAGCATCTGAGTCTAAGAGAATTTGGTTCTGAAGGAATGGAGGGTGATGGGAAGTGATGGTTCTGGAACCCATCCCAAATGAAGAGTGGTTGAGGGAAATGAGGCATGCAAAGCCTGGCCGAGGAGTGTGGGCGCCGTCTTCCGATGCTTGCATGAGCGGAGGCGAGGAGGCTGACCGTCCCGAGTGGCTCCCGAGGGTGGCGCTAGGAGGGAGGAAGGCCAGGTGGGCTTCATGGTGGAAAGGGCACTGGCATGTAGTGAGGGGACCCCTCTGGGCCTCGGCTGCTTTGCTAGTGAAGTGATTAGCCAGATACTGTGTTTTCCAACAACAACTCTCCAACATCAGCTGGGTATCCTACAGTTCAGTCCAACACTGACGCTAATACCTGGAGCTGGAGTGGGCCTCACAGGTTAAGGTGCTCAGTCCTGCAGGACGGCACCCGCACTTCAGATGCCGGCCGCAAGTTCCGGGTCCCCAGGCTACCAGCACTGGTGTTGGATTGGGCTACAAATTCGAGCGTTCTCACAACCCCACTTTAGGTTTGATAATTCACTACAGTGAATCACAGAACTCAGGAAAGCACTATGCTTATGATTACAGTTTTATTATAAAAGATGCCACTTAGGAAGAGCAGAATGGAAGATATGCACAGAGCAGAGTGTGGGAGGGAGGGCACAGAGCCCCCAGGCCCCAGAAGCTTCTGACCCAGGGTGCCCTGTGGGCTTCACGCTGTAGGCACCAGTGAGTAAATCGTGGTCACGTGATTGAACTCAGTCTCCAGTGCCTCTCCCCTCCCCTGGGTTGGCTCCTCTGGGGACCCCAGCTTGAAGCTACCTGGCCCCCAAGCCCACCCCAACTCACCTCAGCATAAACTCAGGTGTGGGAGAAAGGAGTTTGTTATGAATAACAAAAGACACTCCCACCACTCAGAAAATCCCATCGGTTTTAGAAGCTCTAGGTCAGGAACCTGGCACAAAGACCAAATACATTTTTATTACACCACGTATACACTTTAATTTCCCTTCTGTCACTAACACGCCGTATTTAGTGGACCTAAGACTGATTATGAGATACAATTCAGCTCTTCTGAACTAGAGCTCTTGGCAACATAACAGGCTGCTGCCCAAGGTCTGAGCTACCTGGAGTGGAAAGTGAGCCAGCTGAGGTGGGGTGACCCCCATCAGGGATGCTGAGGAGGAAGTCCAACCCTGGGTGGCAGTTTGGAGCAGACGCCCACTCATGGCCATTGTCGAGATGCAGTGTCATGTGACTGCCTTGCTTGATTTCAGAATCGAGGGATGCTTCCGTTTTGGATGAACAGCACCGGCAAGAGGGAAGGCTGGCAGCGTGGGTGGCACGGATACGACAACGAGCTGATGGACATGCGGGGCATCTTCCTGGCCTTTGGACCTGGTAGGCAAGGACATGACCAAATGCTCTCAGTCCGCCGTTCCCCAGGAGGTGTCTCTCCTAGGGGCTGCTGGTGCAGGTAGATGCTGCAGCGACTTCCTTACACACTACCTTTCTGGGCAAAGCCCAGCAAACCCGGCCGGGCTCCAGGAAACATCTTGCGCTGGCTTCCTTTCAAATGCTTCTTGGTTTTGGCAAATATGGCCAAAAACTTTTCCTCGTAAATTTTAAATCCTGAGTGCAGTGAAGAAAATGTATTCCACATGTTGGTGATTCATTTTTTATTTAATTCATCAAAATGTTATTTCACAGCTATCTGGTGTCCAGGAAAGCTTATTGGACACTAGGCTGCTGACAGCTGTGAGTCTCAGAGTTGATGAGATCAATTCTTGGGGTCTGGCTCTTCCACAGACCTCCCCGTCCACAGCACCCACCCTGTGGGGCTCTTTCAGTTCAGGGCCCAACCAGAAGCTAGGACATGCTCAAGGGCACGCTCGGAAATGACCTTGAGACTGACTTTGAGCCAGGATGACTAGGGGTGTCTTGAATGAAAGCAAATTTGCTGCACCCTTTCTTGATCAGACTAATTCCTAGGGCTGGAGGAGAGGAGAGATGGACAGGGTCTATTCGGTCATTTGATTTAATTGACAGACCACTGTAGATTCACACTTCAGAAAAATTTGCCGAGCACTCTGAAGATTGTATTACCACCTAAACATTGTCTTCTTCCAAAAAATAAAAATAAAAAAGGGAAAAAAGCATTCAAAAGCCGTCAACCATCTGTTGACTGGCTCATGAGCTACCCTTCTTTCTCTCTACTGTCCACCCTACTTCATTGAATATCATGAGCCTATCCTGAGATCTGCATTCCAAATGCCTGTTTCTACATGTTGATCAAAATAGTTCATCCCACAACAGTCCACGTTTTCCTTTCAAATTACAAGTTAGACAGCACACCACAAGCTCTGCTTTTCTCTCCCATGTAGCAAGGCTGAAGATATATGTCAACATGCCTTATTCGGTAGCCTTGGTTCATTCCACTTACCACAAAAATCACTGTTAGGAACTCTGAGGTGTCAGTTTCTGCAACCTTCACAGGTGTTTCTAGGAACCTGGGCTTAGGGAACACCTTGGTCCAATCCTTTCCCACATGTGATCCAAGTTTCCAAGTCCTGAAGTGAGCATCAGAACCAGTAGCAGCAAACATTTATGGAGCGATAACTGGGTTCACGACATTGGCGTAAAAGAGCTGGGAGGATGCCGGAGCATGTTGCCATGGACCAATAACAGTCACCAGGTAGGGGCAGGTATGCAGAGCCCAAAGCTAAAGGAATTAGAAATGGACAATGTTGAGGTCGACCGCTAGATGAGGTTGGAGAGCTTCCAGGGCCGTGGCCTTTCTGTGGGGGAACATCAGGCAGCAGGGCTGTCATTCAAAAGCACGGCTCCCCTTTCCCTGGAAGAAGGAAATAAGATTGTGAGTGCAAAACAGTTGTCTTTTGGGGGAGCGTAAATGAGTAAGAGTTTCAGGTATATTTTAAAGCAGAACCAAATCTAGCCCCAAACCCAAATTTTTAAATAAAGTACCCAAAGCTGCATTAACTTAAAGTTAAATTCAGAGGGGGAGATTTCATCCATTAACAGAGGCCTTCCTCATATGTTTCTTGAAAACTAAAAGCCCTCAGTCTTTTTACAGACAGAAAGACAACCCTCGATGAAAATGAACTGGGTTAATTGCAAAATGTTTCCAGGCAGATACAGCGTTGAGAGCCTCCCGCAAACCATCACGTTTCTGGCTCCAGGTCTCATGAAAGATTAAACAGCTTTATACACTGACTGTTTACCGAGGAGAAAATGTAAGAGCCAGGCCTTTAATAGCTATCTAGCTGCACAGTGAGATAAAGGTGCATGCCTCCTGATTAACTGTGTGTGCTTCTTGCTTAGGGAGGCAACCAGGCATCATTGCAGCTGCCCAGAGACGGCCTTAGAAGTCACTAAGTCTGGTCCAGCAAAGAGAAAGGGAAATAATTCTGGAAGAAAGCCTCTCTCTAGTTAATCCCAGTTTCTAATTTGAACAACCTAATCTTGCCCTGGAGAACGCCACATGTGAGATAAGACAGCGGGGGTGTGATTTAGTGAGCTGCCTACACCCAGCGAGCCTCACTCGGAAAGCAGCCCAAGGCGGCCAGGCGCCGCTGCACAACCTTCTCTCTTTAGGAGACACGTTTTCAATATTCAAAAAAAAAATGTAAACCCATGAGGATAACCTGGGTTCCCAGTCCAGGTTTGCAATGCCATGTTGAGCTAGTGGAACCTGTCTGGGTCCTCCCCAGTTGCTATTCAGGAATTTTCTAGAAGTTTTCATTCCAGCCTGGATCATCTCTACATGGAGCCCAAAATCCCATCCCTGCAGAACAGGAGGCCACGAACTAGAGGGGGTGGGAAAGAAAACCCGATTCTCCTTCCTGCTTACGTGCACAGAATTGGATTTTATACTTTCAATGTAAAAAGATAGCATTTTCTAACACTTTTGTCAGGAGAACCTGATCTCGGTTTTTCCTGCAAAGTGTTAAGGAAGTGGATTTTTGAAAGGCTTCCAATGGGGCACTACCCCACATGCCCTCCCACCCCCACACAGGACAAGGACGTGGCCACGAGTGGTGGCAGTGGGATTGTCACATCCAGGGCACACGGAAAGTCAGAAAGAGAGAGATAAGCTGCTTTGGTGTCGCAGGGATAACCTTCCGATTGGTTTCTCATGCTGTAGCTGATTCTTCAGGTGGGAAAGTGTAGCCACCATCCTCATCTAATTGTCTAATTTGCCTTCATACTGAGGGGCCGGGACACAGGGCAGCCCTACGTTCTCCTCCCCAGGCAGGGTTTAAGTCATTTTTTAGCCAGTTTTTACTCTAAGGGGATGGGGACATTAACCTCCCTGACTCGAAAGAAAAGTAAACCCCTCCAAATAATTTATAAGTTGAATATATTCCATCCACAGTTTGCTCCTGTCATGTGCGTTTGTTAATAACAATAGCACCATTTATTGAGCATATACGGAACCATGACTTCCCACGTCCATTTCCTGAGGTCCCCCAGCTAGTAAGTGGGTGCAGGCTGGCGGTCGAGCCCATGCACCTCTTTATATTGAATTCTACTTTAATGCTCCAAGAGCAAATCCTGCCACTTGGGAAGTTGCACTGGATCTAACATACTGTGTGGCACAGTTTTCTGTACATAACTTTTTTCCAACTTGCCATTCCAGGATAAATACAGGAGCAGGATTTGGCGTCAGGACCTCTGGAATATATTTCTGTTGTTATTCGTTTGCTTTTTAAATAAAGTATCTGTGATCATTTTAGCAAAGCAATTATAAAGATTATTTTCTAAGATAAAAGACTTAGCTTCACAGCCCCCAAAATACTCGTTTCCTTTAAAAATCTCAGGCGAACTAAAGCACATGCATAGGGCTTTATCGTGATAAAATCTCCTCCCTGAATTCACCCTTAATGTAGCCTTAGCTATTTTGTTGGAAGCTCTGGTTCGGGGCCTAAAAGTGAAGTTGCTTATGCGTATCCCTAAAATCTTCTTTACTCTTTAAATGGACAAGTGCTTTGAATTTAGCGTCTTATGTGCCTCTTGTGGAGGAGAAGATGGGCTCGATTAAAACTCCTTCAAGAATTTACAGAGTCACCTTCAGCCCTTATTATGCTGTGAATGGCCGGCCCTTCCCTTATGTTCCATGACTGCTCGAGTCTGGTGCTTGGTAGAGGCCCAGTCCTCTCCTCCATTAGGTCTCTCAGAGCCCTCACTTGGATCCCTTACTCCAGTACCAGTTTGCTCACTTTCCACACGGCTAATTTATTTTATCTGTTGGAGAAAGGCTCCCAATGAATGTTCCATTGATCTTCCAAGTGTATTTAGGGAACTGTTGCTGTTGCTGCTGAACTAGCCAGCACCAAGGAAGCTGTAGGTTTCATATTCCAAAAGAGGAGAAAGCATTCTTGAGTTGCTGTGGGGTCTCTGCAGTAGAAATCAGCACCCTGGCTATCGGTCCTGGCTAGATAGCTGTTCCAGGAGATGAGCATACTGTAATTTGGTTAAGATGAGCCCAGCACGACAGTCACTCTGTGGCCACGCCGGCTCACCAGTGCTCTGCAGACACGGAGGAGCTTCAGACGGCCCTTCTGCCTCCGCACGGAAAGCGCTGTTGTCACAAAGAGAGCACAGTCATGCACAAAGAAAGTCTGTTTGCTGACTAATCTTTTAAAGAAACTCCTCTTTACATAGAAATAGAAAGCTATTTCCCTTCGTAAGAGTAGATGGGCTTCCGTCTACTCTTCCACGTTTGCAATCATTAGGCCACACCTCGTTGGTGGAGCTGATTTCCCAATTCCAAAGTCCCCTGGAACCCAAATGTAATTCCTCCACATTGTGGTTCGCCCTCTGTGCGCTGTGGGCGGCTATGACAGCTTGTTTGTTTGCTTTTCCATTTCAGATTTCAAATCCAACTTCAGAGCCGCGCCAATCAGATCGGTGGATGTCTACAATGTCATGTGCCACGTGGCGGGCGTTGCCCCTCTGCCCAACAACGGGTCCTGGTCCCGGGTGGTGTGCATGCTGAAGGGCCAGGCCAGCGCCACCCCGCCTGTCCCTCCGAGCAGCTACGCCCTGGTCCTGATTCTGCTCCTGCTGTTTGCATAACTGATCGTGTTACTTGTCCCAAAACACCGTCAGCAAAGTGTGCCTCCAAAGTGGAATGATTTTCATTTTCTGTGTGAATAATAGCTTCATTAACACAATCAAGGCCATAAAAATTGTAAATATATTATTCTTGGATGACTCTATACATAAAAGTACCTACTTCTTTAAAAGAAAAAGAAAACGTTGTTTTCCCTGAAGGCAGGAAAAATCCTAGCCTTTCATTTGTTCAGCCATATGTAATTTTCTCCTTTCTTTTCATATAGTTCATACAGGATGAACTGTCTGAGCAGGCACCTGCTCCCGCAGCAGCCAAACTCTGAGTGGATACTGCCTGGTCATCCTGGGGCCCTCTTTGTCCTACCTTGTACAAAGTGGCCTTTGGACCAGGTCCTTAACTGTTCCCTGTCCACATCCAGGAGCCATCCTCAGGGTCTGTGGCCACAATCCCGGACTGCTTCTTCCATCCCAGAAAAGAAGAGCATGAGAGCAAAAGCTGCCATCTGTTTCTCACCCAGATTGCAGAATTTTTTCATCTTTATACGAAGTCCCAGAAAGACATATCTTAGCATGGACCACCAATCAACCAAAAAAAAAAGAAGAAAGAAAAAAGAAACCACTAAGAATTGAAGAATTCATAGAATGAAGTGAAAGATGTGGGTCCCCTCCCAAAATCTGACTGTACAAAAGTTTCTCCCTTGCCTTGAGGAGCAGAAACGCTTCCAATGGATATGGGCTTCCGTGAGACTTACCCTGCTGGTGTCCCACGGTCCGAAGCATTCAACAGACTGGTGGGCCGCCTGCCTGCCTGCCCCCTGCCTGTGTGAGGCTTCCACAAACAGCGCCATGCTTTGGTTCCGGATTCAGGGTCTAGACCACAGGAACACTGGACACGGCATTACAGGCCGGGAAAGGGTGTCTCACCAGTGAGAACAGGGGTGTGCCTATCAGCAGGCTCTCAGTTCATTGCGTGGAGTCGTCCTGAAGCAGGCTTGCTTAACCATGAAAAAGAATCTTCGAGTGACACAGAATTCCTAAAAAATGGTGGTGGGTGGGGAATGGGAGCTGAGTCCCAGTCTTAACCAACTAACCAGCCATTTGATGAGGAAACAGTTTGGTCAAAATGCCACCTCAGTTCTTTAGAAACCCTTGAGAAGAACCACTGAGCCTGACCTGAAATAGTTTAGTCACCTAAGTTTGCTGTAGGAGAACTTGTAAAACAAGGGATAAGTGCATTTTCACATGATGAGTCGTTTACACACACACACACACACACACATTCCCTGTTATTGCATTAAAAACGAGGCTGCCGTAAATGAGGCACATCCACAAGTACAAGACAGACTTTTTGTCAGGAAAAGGCAACATACCAGGTCTCCTCCGGATGATGCAGCCCTTATATGGTGTTTTACCTTGAAAAATGAATATGGACACTCAGCCCGATTCAGGAAGGCTGGAGCCGACTCTGTGCCTTGAGTCGTGAGAGCAAAAAGGATCACTGCTTACAAATACTGAATTTGCCTTCACAAAAGATTTCCAAGGATTTATGTAATGTGTTTTTAAAGCTCCAGCAAACCATCAAATCAATTGGAAAGAAGGCAAACCAGCCTTTGTTATCTGGCTGAAAACGAATTAGTACTTTCAAAACATGGGCAGTAGTTGTTGCAAAAGACATCCATTGTCAAAGTTTCTTCCTCCTTAAAGGACAGTGTCCCAGTGAATTCAGCGGGGCCCACCTTCCTCTCTTATGAAGGAAGGATCCCTAAGAGATATCCATGTGATTAAATTAAAACTAGATTATCAAAATGGAGAGAAGGCTAAATATGTGCACAGTCTTTTTCTTTCCTTCATTCGTTCTTTTTTTTTTAAAGACAGAGTCTTGCTCTGTCATCCAGGCTGGAGTGGGGTGGCGTGATCACAGCTCACAGCAACCTCAAACTCCTGGGCTCAAGCGATCCTCCTGCCTCAGCCTCCTGAGTAGCTGGGACTATGGGCACGTGCCACCGTATTCTTTGCAGAGACGGGGTCTTGTTATGTCACCCAGGCTGGTCTCACACTCTTGGCCTCAAGCAATCCTCCCGCCTCAGCCTCCCAAAGTGTTGGGACTGCAGGTGTGAGCCACCACGCCCAGCCTTGCACAGTCTGGCATTTGTCTTTCCTGCGGTCCCGCCATTTTCCTCCTTCACTCATCCTGAAAAATCTGCACGTTATATAATAAAATTTCATATATTTATCTGAAAAAAGTATAATTATTCAATAAATAATGTTAAATAAATGAATGAGAATAAGATATAAAAGGAACCATGAATACTGGTAAATAATAAAGAAAATTCAGACACTGAGTGGAAACAAAACTTTTTTGCCTTAAATAATGGCTACACTTTGATGGCTCAATTATTTGGTTAAAATTTGTTCCCTTTTATTTTTGTTTTAAAGTTACATTTTTCTCCCCAGGAAAATGCTACTTTCTCTGAATGTGTCTTGTTCTGTAGGAGCACAATGTGCTAGGAATATGTGTAGACACCTTTTCTCCTGGATTATTTTACGACTCCACTGCTAATTCCGGGAAGAAAATAAGTGGGTTGACCTACCAAGGATAAATGAAAGGAACAATCCTGAAATTAAAGATGAGATGAGGGCTGCTTTCCCTACCTGTGTGCCCACGCTCCAGAATCAATTCGATTAAGTCTGAAGACCTAAGCATAACTAAACTAGCGTGAGCTCAGGGAATTCTTTTTAGCCTAGAAGAGTCCTGAATTATAAAGTCCCAGTTCCCTTTACTTTTAAAGGGAACTTGGAAATCCACATCGGATCTGAGGTCAGTCACAGAGGAGAGTTTGCAAACTTTCTGGGCTTTTAAGCGTCATCTGACTCACCTCCAGAGACACGGGTTCAGGGGATCTGGGGTGGGGCCTTGGACAACACCTTTAAGTCACACTGATCTAAGGTTTGGGTTTGCTCCCAGGAGAGGTGACCTGAGTCTCCTGAGAGCTGTTTCATAAGCAGCCAGCTTCTCCAATGGCCGTTAGGCTGACATCGGGCACTAACCTCAGCGGGGTCAAGCTTTCAGGCTTCCTAAACCAAAGTAGGTCTGCAAGCCCTCCTGGGGGAGGAAGAATCCCAAAAAGGCAAACTTGGCTTCTCCACCACCCATTGCTTGTGGCTCTAAGATTCCCAACAGTGCTAACAGACAAACTCAGACATTGTTCAAGACACGCAACTATTTTATGAATTTTCTAAGAAAGTGCTTTGCATTTCTGTAAATATCAAGAGATTTCCAAATGCAATTGTGTGTTTTATCTTTGTAAGCAATTTGTGATAGACCAAAGTCAGCTACCGTAAACTACTGGCTAAAGAAAGGGAGGAGGTAGCTTTGACAGACTAGGTGTAAAGCATTTGGAACTCGGTCTCAGGTTTGTGCTATGGAAAACGTACTTCTGTGCTGCTTTGAAATCACAAAATAGCACCTAGTACAGGGCCTCAAATGTTTATTAAATGTCCCATAAACATGTGTTGAATGAGAAAAAGAATAAATGTCGTTAAGGAGACTTGCTTAAACTTCAGATATTGTCTCTGTAGTTTCTCAAATTAAATGAACTTTCCACTTTGGGCTTGATATCTTTCCTTGTTACCCAACTGACAATATAATTACACTTTATTTCATGGACTAAACATATTCTATCCCAGGCTTATAAATTAGACATGGGGAAGGAAAGAAGAAAGGAAGGAGGAAAAGAAACAAGGAAGAAGGGAGGGAAAAGAGAGAGATTAGATTTTAAATATATTATGCTTATTAACTTTTGAAAACTATAACAGCCTTATTGAGATTGACTTCACATACCATACTATTCGTCTATTTAAAAGTTTACAATTCAATGGCTTTTAGTATATTCACAGAGCTGTGTAACCATCACACAATCCATTTTAGAACATTTTGTCACCCCAAAAAGAAACTCCATACCCATTAGTACACTAGCAGTCACTCCTCATGTCCTTCCACCACCACCCCAGGCAACCACTAAGCTGCTTTCTGGCTCTACAGATTTGCCTCTTCTTGATATTTCATAAAAATAAAATAACACAATATGTGGTCCCTTGTGGATGCCTCCTTTCACTTAGCATAATGTTTTCAAGGTTATAGCATGAGTCAGTGCATTCCATTTTATGGATATACTACATTTTATTCATCCATCCATCCATTGAAGGACATTTGTTTTTTTTCCACTTTTTAGATATTATAAATAATGCTGCTCTGAACACTGGTGTACACATTTTGGTGGAGGTATGTTTTCATTTCTCTTGGGAATGCCACTAGGAGTGGAATTGCTGGGTCATTTAGTAGGTTTATGTTAAACTTTTGAGGAACTATCAGACTATTTTCCAAATCGGCTGCCCCATTTTGCATTCTCATGAACAGTGTATGAGAGTTCCAATTTCTGCCTCCTTGCCAACACTTGTTATTATCTGTCTTTCTTAACTATAGCCATCCTTGTGAATTCAGAGTGGTATCTCATTGTGGGTTTGTTTGCATTTTCCTTATGATCGGTCATGTTGAACATCTTTCTGTGTGCCTGTTGGTCATCCATCTATCTTTGTTGGAGAAAAGTTTATTCAAATACTTTGCCTATTTTTAGTTGGGTTATTTATCTTCTTATTATTGAGTTGTAAGCATTCTTTATATATTGTAGATACGAGTCCTCTATTATATATGTGATTTGCAAATATTGTTCCCATTCTGTGGGTTTTCTTTTCACTTTCTTGATAGAATCCTTCAAGACACAAAATTTTTTAATTTTTGATGATGTCCAGCTTATCTTTTTCTTTTTTCAGTTGTGCTTTTTGTTTCATATCTAAGAAGGCTTTGCCTAATCCCAGATTATGAAGATTTATTCCTCTAATTTTTTTTATGAGTGTTACAGTTTTCACCCTTACATTTAGGTCTACGATCCATTTTGAATTCATTCTTTGTGTTTGATGTGATGAAGGGACACAATGTCATTCTTTTCCACGTGGATATCCAGTTGTCCCAGCAGGATTTGTTGCAAAGCACGTTTACATTTTAGAGAGGTGTTAAAACGATTCAGTGGAACAAAATACTTACATTTTTAAAAAAGGTCCAAATCACTTAGGAGTTTGAATTTCTGTACCTCTGGTTACACCACACTGGATATGCAACACTTAAGCGAGCGTCCCATAAATTCAAGGAGAACTATCTTCTACAGAAGGTGAACACAAATGCTGTTCTTGAAAATGGCTCACGCCCACGGAAAGCATCCAAGGGCAGAAGACGCTACCAAGGGGAGTCTGTGCCATCTTCTAGCCATGACGGTGTCAAGGCCATTTCCACCAAGACCCCTGTGACAGCCGAGTCCAGTCTCCCCCAAGCTTTACGACGCAAATTTCCCCCGTCTCTCCCCAAGCATCCAGCAGAGCCCCGCGAGCCCTTCCTCGCCGGCACCCTGACCAGAGTTCTGCCTCATCCTGGTGCGGTGGCCTCCTGGCGGGTTTCCTTGAGACCCTTAGGGCTGCAGCTCACTCTCCTCTCTGTCACCTGAAGAAGAGCCTTTTAAAATGCAAGTCAGATCA